GCAGAGGAGGTGTCTACATGCATGTAATCAAATTACTGATTCCCTTCCGTACTTTAAAACATCGTCACTGTGTAATACTAATACACACCCTCAGAAGTATGGCATACAATAAATTTTAATAAGTTATAATTTTGTCGTGAGCGCTACACTCAAACTGATTAATTGCCTCATAAATGCCCTGTTCACCCCTCTTGGCCACTTTCATGAGCAGTCACCAGCACTGATTAATACGAAAGTTAACGATTGGATGGAGTCTACATAAAAACGGTCAAAGAAGGGGGGGGGGCTCTAAAAACAGGTCATTGGTTTGATTTCCTGGCCACGAAAAGCAGGCCTAGACAAAACTGCCAAGTTATAACCAAATTGCTAATACATTATTTGTAGTAATATCATCTCTGTTTCTTTGCCTTCTGTTTCTGTATTCACATCTTTAGTTAAATTATCTGTTGAAATATCTTGAGATCATTATTCCTACGTTGTGCCAAAATTTTAAATACAATTGTTTAATGGGCTAATTTGTCTATTTTTTGGGCAAGTGTACATTCAGTAATATTCAGGGATTTGTTTTCATTCACAGCCATATAGTTATCTTCTTTTTTGACGCACTAGTACACATCTATGTTCACATCTCAGTGATTCTGCCGTGGATAAAAAGGTTTTTTCTTATTATGTTCCTACTATGGGAACGTTTTGCGTCAGAAGATACATTTCTTCCTTACTTCTTTGTCTCAGTTTGATTACCGTTTCAAACAAGTGAGCCTTCGCCCCTTGTCTGATGTGAACAAAATGCAGTAATGTAGACACATTTTTGTGCAATTCGTTGATTGGCCGTTGTCATCGGTCGGCCGTCTACACTTTTGGTGTGAATGCACTGTTGTTGTTGTTGTTGTTGTTGTTGCTGTTGTTGTTGTTGTTGTTGTTGTTGTTCTTGTTGTTCTTGTTGCTGTTGTTGTTGTTGCTAATCAAGTAGTATTTAAGCATGCACCCTTCGGCCTAATACCATGACAATGTTTAAAGCATCTGGAGGTTTTTAAAAGTTACGTTTTGCTTCACTATAGATCATAGTCGGTGGTTTGAACGGGGGGAACAAGTTGCCGTCGGAAATCATCCAGTTTGGAACATTCCAAGAGCAGACGTTGCACTGTTTCGTAGATGTCGTCTTGTTGAAAAAGTAACCACATTGGTGTTGTTATTTTTAAAAAAGATGAGTCTTCTTTTTCTCAAGTGAAAGAGGTAATATTTAGAAAACCTAGGCCGTGCTCGGCGAAAGCTGGCAAAGCTTTGTAATGCGTTTTATAAAATCCATATATATTGTGGTTGATTTAGATTATTACGACTGCGAAAGTAATGGTCTGGTTTATCATATTATATTTCATTTTCTTGTCAATAGGGTTGTTACAAAGAAAACAGCAGGCTGTGACTTAATCTTCCAATCAATATTATTTTTTTCTTCACCAAAAAGCTCTGTATTTGCCTATCGTGACAAATAAAGAAAATATTAGAAATATTTATCTGCTTTTTAGTTACATGTTTATGAACGCCCAGGTCATATCGTATGCCAAGGTTGTTCTGACAGTTTCAAAAGAAAATTATCGATGTTCTTTCTTATAATCATTTCATCTCTAAATGACTCAATTCACAACACAATTCCTCCGTTTATTCAGCTGGGACGTTCATCCCAAATAGCCATTCGGTTTAACCGAGAAACTTCAATATTGCTTTTTAGGCGCTTACTGGACAACGCTTATCCCCACTGTATATAATCTGCCTCTTCCGACAGCTTGATGTTCATTTGCAGCTAGGTGAACTGAGGAAGACGGGGTAAGTATTTTTCCTGAGTATGCGCTGAAGCCCGGAATCAAACTTGTAACATCGTTTCACTGAGGTCTGAGACGCCACGTTGTGTGTCCAGTATGCCTCTGTGGCCGTTAGTTTCGGCATTTCGCGACCTCAGATTTACAAAGTTCTATTTGACATTTTTTAACTGTTTTGGGTTGCTAAGACTATGAAGTCAGAAACCTTTATGGCATATCTCCTCCATCAAGATATTCAAAGAACTGCATTTGAAAAAGGTTGTCTTGGTGTGAAACTCAAAATCTTTGACGACAGACTTCTCAAAACTAGGTACTGAGCAGAAAGAACTTTGTAATTCTGAAGTAACGGTTTGTTTGTTGGAGCCGTTTTTCTTTTTCGTTTTGGCTCTTCTGAGTGTTAAAAAAGGCTGATCGGTTCATTCATGTAGATGCAAATTTTTCAGTTAGTCATCTCCCTTTTTGTTCAGAGAAAGTTAAATGACGCCTACTATATTTCTTAGGTGACAATGATTAAACGTTATTGCAGTTGCTTTTTTTTTTATTTTGTTTTTTTTAATGAACAAAGGCCATTTTTTTTTAAAATTAAAGAAAGAATTTTTTAAAAATCTTGCCTATGGTAGGGGAAAATGCCAATGTTCAATTATTGTATATTTATTTTGTAAATTGTAAACACCAATGAAGCACCAAAAAATTACTTTCATACTAATATGGCCTACTTTTAGGGCTATCTATTTCTACTGACGTGAAAGATAAAAAAGCGTTTTTGCTGAACTCAAAATCAGAGAAATTTAAATAGAACCCTCGATGTGTTCTGTGTGATTTTGTTGTTGCCAGGACATCCAAAGTCTGAAGCAAATACAGCATTAACGACAACAGCAATAATAACAACAATAATAAAAATAATAGCAAATTAAATACCCCCTCCTCCCCCCAAAAAATACCAGCTAACCTTTTAAAGCATCTAGCATCTGATCCTAGCTGTTGTATCTCTAACTAGTTTACCAATCTTTATTTGGTATTATAATAATATCATGCTGACAGAGGCTCTGCAAATGTGCTTTAAAGCTTTTGAATTTTTCCGAGCGTTTCTACTCTTCGCCCAGTCCAAAGGGGGAGATGACAATTGAATCATAGATCCTTGCTTACCAAAAAAAAAAGCAATTGTATTGAACGTTGCGTCAGTCCTCATAGTCAGTAGTGAGGGATACTGGTGTAAATGTCCATAGTGCAGTATAATCTGAACACAAAACAAGCAAGAAAACAAACGAACGAACGAGCTAACAAACAAACAATTGCGCTGGGTGCTATGAACGATATAATTCACTACTTCTTCTTCTTCTTCTTCTTCTTCTTCTTCTTCTTCTTCTTCTTCTTCTTCT